TTGCAGGCACAAAACAGCAGCTGTTCAGTCAAACGGACTGAAAAACCTGCAATCAGTACAATAATATTTAACAGTAAGGCTCTCAGCCATAAATTATACAGGAGCCAAATAAATCTCACAACACAAGATATCAAATAATGTCAAGAAGAAAAGGAAACAATCATTAAAGCCAAAAGCATCAAAATAAACACCTGCAGTGAACTCACACCGGACGTCTGCTTCAAGCTGCAGCACGTGACTTAAACAACAAAAGATTTTACATGTGTATTAAAACTTTTAATAACATTAGACAATAATGTAAAAAACAACCAAACGGTTTCCGTCTGTTATTTGGATGAACCACTGATAATTTGTAATGGATTGTTCTCCACTTTGCTTCTGTTAGTTGATGCAGGTTTAGTTTGTTTGGCAGGAAGTGATTAATCCTAAATCGAGTCCCCTGACCTGGCCTGCCTGCAGCTCATTCTTTGTTTGTTGTAACTTTGTTTTTTGCTTTTAACAAAGTGAAAGTAAAGGAGAGGAAGCAGCTTGGTCAAGCTTCTTCCAGCTGCCGTCAGCACAAAGTCAATCTTATCCAGATTTTGTTCAAGCAGTCAAACGCAGCAGAAACAGCAGAATATGAAATGTTTGTTGTTGAGCAGGAAATGAAAGGATTACATAATTACTCCCATTTACGCATGAAAGCTTGCCTTTATCAGACCTAGCCAACCAATCCTAACCACCTGCGTCGCTGTGCAGTTTGGTGATGTATTGATGGGCAAAAAAGTATGATTTTAATTTAGATGCATTCAGTGACCAGTGGAAAAGTTAGCTTTTTGAATATTTGACATTCCTATCAGATCTGGAGAAACTCGTGAATTTAATGAAAGCTTGTTTTTCCTGCTGTGGCTCTTTGTTTCAGTTTTGTTTGGTTGTTCAGGTTTCCCTCTTCGCCTGGGGAATGAGGGTTTCTATTATAACGCTGTAATCTCTTATGTAGCAGCTCGATCTGCAGCGCCTCTGCTGATCCCGCAGCGGTTCCAGACCCGGCTCGGACCCGACATGCACAGATGACGAGGCTGTTCACCTGAAGGCAGCTCGACGCAGGGTGTGGCCTTATCTCACGCCCGGCTCAAAGCCTGATGAGGCAGATGTTTCAGGAAAATCAGAGTTTATGACGCTGTAGCTTCCAGTCAGACAAAATGATTCAGCTTCTGAAAAACCAGCTGACTGCTTCAGCTTTGAGAGGCAGACGAGAAATCAGTTGGAAAAAGTTTGAAAGCTGGATAAAGATAAACAAATCAGATGCAAAGAGGGATAAACGTCATGTCAGACTTGGCTCACTTCCTCTTCTCCAAATCAACAGACTCTTTGTTGCTGTTTGCTAAAAGACAAAGATAAAAAAATCACATTGTTTTGGCTGAACACATCATGACTGGTTCCTGAAGCTAGCAGCTGCTAGCAGCAGCGTTTCCTGAAGAACATGCTGAAAAACCTTTTTGTTCTTCCGGCGGTGTGTTTACGATGTCTTAAAGCTCTTGGTATTCCCAGAGCTGGAATCAGGTGATGAGTGAAACGACTCTGTTGCTCGTCAGGTTGAGGAATTTTCCTGTGAAGCTTTATCTCTGTCAGCCTGCTGCTAGCACGCAGCATGATTAGCGAGGTCTGGCTAAGCTGGAGGCCGCGTGTGTGTCTCTGCTTTCAACCTCAGGATCTTCATCAGCAGATCAGCTGAGTTAGGATGGGGCTTTATGCTTTTCCTCAGCAACACAAAGCAAAGATCAGAGTAAAGCGTCGTGGGTCAGGATGGGAGGAAGGAATGAAATCCTCCATCTTCCCCCTTCTGCTCCCCTCTGGGTGCTCAACTTCATCTCTGTTCCTGAGAATTGTCACAAAAATAACTTGATCATAACTTGGAACGGCTGAATTGAGTGGTAAATATGAGCAGATATTAACAATAAGCCTCACCTTCCCTGAATCCAGCCGCCTCATTGGTTGGTTGAGGAATGTCTGCTTTGGTTTAGTCAGATCTGGGAATGTTGTCGCACCAGAATTCAGCTCTTTCTGGTTGCAGGTTGGAAAACCTCATGCAGTGATATCGCTGCACAGCATTAGCTTGTCAGCTAATGTTCATTACGACATTTCTCTCTCTAATGGCATTAGCTTGCATTGCTAATAATATCAATACATATGCAGTCAATATGCTACTCGGGTCTAAACCAGGAAATGAGATTTTGTAGAACATCTTGTCAGCTCTGTCTCTGTTTCTATTCGCTGTGGTTAGAATAGTGAGCGTTCATTGGATCAGGGATGCAGAGTTTCCTCTGTCCAGATGCTGTAGTCTGTGCTTAAGGATCTATGTTTTGGGATCTATGCCTCCAATTAGTCAGATGATTATCAGCTTGATTATTCGGGAGGAAAGTTTCAAGCAGCTGTCATCCTGAGGGGAGTGACTCTTTGTCTGTGCAGACAGAGCGTTTGCATTGTGTTGAATGAAATTAAGTCATTTCACAAAATGCTGTAGGAACAGCATATTCTGCTTTACTTTAACGTCTGTCTGGGTTAAATTATTAAATTATTTTTGATGTAAACAAACCCAGAAGTGATAAATTTTACAGTTTATCATCACTTTATCTTCTGTGTGACGTCTGTCCTTTCTGTCCTGTGAAAAACTTTATGGTTGGATATATAAAATGTTTATATCTGGTAAAAATAGGACTTTTTGTCTTTGGTGCCCTAAAAAGCATTGAATAAATTTGATGTATTATTAATTTGGGGTAAAATGTGCGTGAAGCGTTCCCTGAGCTTTATTTCCCCTCAGCAGCGTCTCGTCCTCAGACTGCTTGAACTCTTTTAATCACTATATTTATCTGTTTCTTCACTATTTCATTACATATGGGATTCTCTGAGTCACAATGGGACAAAATGTTTTTTTTTCCTCTTTGGTGTCAAATTGTTATTTATTGCTAAATTATTGATATCTTCGAGCGTGAGAAGCCAAAGTCAGGAATTTGTGTGTGGGGCGCTGGTTAGCCACAGAGTTGCTTCTTTATTGGAAGTTAATTAGATTTAATTATTAGTATGTAATCATTTCTGATGCAATTGGGATCTACTAGTGAGGACAGTTTGATTCAGACAATGCAGTTAGAAAATATTTTTGTGTTTTCTTCCATTTCCCTTTAGGCTAAAGTTATTCAGCATGTTTCAGTTGGTTGCTTAGGGTTAGTTGGTTTGGGTTGATTGGTTAGGTTGGTTAGTTGGGTTGGTTTAACTGTAATCCTTGTTCAGTGACATTCAGTGAACCAGTTCAAACTTTGACCCCACAGTTGCTGCTTAGGGGTTTCAGTCAACATGTTGGCTGTTAAACACGGCATGAAACATTAATTAACATTAAGGCTTTCATGGCCTTTATTTGAAAGTAGTTCGACAGGAACGAGGGGGAAGACATGTGGCAAATGTCACCAGGCCGGGAATCGAACCTGCAACCACCGTACAAGGACTGAGTCCTCAATACGTGGGTTGTGCTTTTGCCCCTGCGCCACCACAGCACCCCTTGGCATGAAACATTTATAACTAAGCTTTACAACTACAAATCTACTTAGAAATTATTGTAATTTTAGTATTTTGTCAGTTTCTTGAATGTCTAACTTGTTAAATTTCAGTTTATTCTTCTGTTTTAGTCGCCACCGTCTCTTTCTTTGGTTTGGTTTCCTTGGTTCTTTCTGTCAGAAGAGTTGAAGTCCAACTGGCCTGAATGATTAATGAGCGTCTGAATGTAATAATCTGGCTGATGTGACACATTGGAGCCTCTTCGCTGGCTTACAGACTGAAGGATTTGTAACTAAACAGACTGGAACCAGTTGGCCCTGTGTGGCTGCAGGTTCTAATGGTCCGCAGGACCGGGCCACTCAGAACCGTTCAGGTCAGAACCGTTCAGGTCAGAACCGTTCAGGACAAGTCTTTAGGCTCGGCGTGTTAAACATGGCTGCTGTTCAGTGAACCAACCGTCTGTCTGTCCGTCTGTCTGCTGCAGGCCAGCTATCCCACCTGGGAGGATTTCGTCTCCAAAGGAGCCAAGCTGCAGGCCCACCTCAGGTAACCACAGCCGCCATGACTTCATGATTCAGCACTTTCAGAGCTCAAAGTGGATCCATGCAGGCTCACACTGCTGAAACAGGAAGTCCAGTCAATCATCCAGGTTGCATCTCTTCACAGAAATAAGAAATCTGGATACCGCTTCTGAAAATTACAATCACAGTATTGGTCACATTGAAGCCACATTTAGCCTTTCCTGTTGTATCCGTAGTTTGATGAGCGTCACTCTGCTGTCAGTCGGCCACAGAAGGAAACTCTCTGCTCCTTCACACACTTTGTTCCTTGAGTCACGGCAGTAATGGAAAATCTCTGAATTGGTTTCATGTCTGCACTGACAGCAGCAGCCTGTGGCCTGAGTTTTCATGCTAAACAGGATCTGCTAACACAAAATGCCGCCAGCTGCTGCTGCTTTATGTTTGAGGACTGTAGGATTATCTCTGCTCTACACTGAGATTGATGCTTCATTTTAATCAACAATTTTATCTAGAGGTGTGCTGAT